CTCCACCAATATCGTCTTTTCATATTTTGGTACACCTTGGTTCCTCTCGGGTGTACTGTGAACGTGGAATGGTGAAATTCCTTAAGAAGTTTTTCTTTCTAGGATTAATCACTTGGCACAAGCAATCTTCCTTGATACCTCAAGCTCCCATCGGTGTGTATTTTCTAATCTAGCATTGGTTCTTTTGATTCCAGTCGAGCTTTTAATGAAAGCAACTACCTGATCAAACTTTTGTTACTCTCTCACCTCATTCAGTAACTTACGTACCCTAAATTCATTGTGTACCAATCATGTTCCATTCCTTGAGGGCCAACTAGCATCGTATCCACGCGCGACTCCAAATTCACTTCTCAATTCTGGCAAAGTATGCAAAAAGCCATAGGGACAAACTCGTGCTTTGGCTAGGGTTGCAAACGAGCTGAGTCGAGCCGAGTTAAGTTTTACTATGTTCGAACTTGACTCAATTTATTTACAAGCTGTTCTAGCTTGGCTCGAGCTTGAAACAAGCCAAAATATTTGAGCTCGAGCTCGGCTCATGTAAAATTTATGTAACTTGAACTCGGCTCGTGGCGGCTCGTTAGCCAAGAGAAATCTATAGAAAACATGAACCCTCTGCACTTACATAGAAAATTTTCCACCTTGAAAGGTATTGTGCAACCTATGTGGGATTTTTCAACCAACTCACCAAATGACGTAGTTTGGCACACATCTTATTGCATTATTTCAGCCCCACATTGTTGAAGAGAAGCTATGCACAAAGTCCCAACCGTTACAAAAGGTTTATAAGGGTGAGTTGGTGGAAACTATCACACTAGTCAAGGAAAGGAAAGTAAAAGCAAAGCATTGAAAAAAACTTTCAATGATTATTTTCTATTAAACTAATCAAGATTATTTATCATGATCAATTTAAAATGTTTTAGCAAATACAAATATTATATAATATATAATATATAATAATATACGTATATATAAATGTAAATATATAATATATATACTTGAGCTTGCGAGCTTATTCGAGCCAAGTAATATTAAGTTCGGGCTCGGCTCGTTTATTATTCAAACTCGAATCTTAAGCTCGAGCTCTTTTATTTAGTTAATGAACCAAGTACGAATGAGCTTTAACAAGCCGAGTTCAAGTTTGTTCATGAACGGCTTCATTCGTTTGCAGCTCTAGCTTTGGCACAACGTTTTATCCATAGATAGATGGACAGTTTGAAAGAACAATACACAATTTGGAGGGCATACTCCGAACTTGTGTCATAAAGGAAGTTGGATAAGCACTTGCCATTGATCGAATTTTGCATTCAAGAATAGTTTTCAGGACAGCATCGAAACGACATCATATGAAGCTCTTTATGGATGACCTTGTCAAGCACCGAGTTGCTGGATAGAAGTAGGGGAAACATCCTTTCTAGGGCCAGACTAGGTCCATGGGACCACATAAAAGGTTAAGGTAATTAGACAAAGTTTGATCACAACCCAAAGCAGGCAGAAGAGCTATGTAGATCAACGAAGGTGACCGTTGACTTTCGAGGTGGGAAATCATGCTTTCCTAGAAGTCCTCGTCGGCGTACCATGTCCTTTGGAAAGAAAGGGAACCTAGCACCATATTATGTTGGACCTTTTGAGGTTTTAAGCTAGGTTGGAGAAGTAGTATATTAATGACATTACCACATAAGCTAGTGGCAATACATAATGTCTCACATTAAAAATGTACGAACCTCATCCATCCCACGTAATCAATTGGAGAGGAATCAATCTCGACGAAGATGCAATTTTTTGAATAAAGGCTCGTAGAATCATGAATCTTGGATAAAAGAACTTCCGAGGCCTAGTTTTCCGCTTAGTACATATATTATGGCAACATCGGGGAGTCGAAGAATTTATTTGGGAAAGGGAAGATTCAATTCGCGCCAATTACCCTTAGTTGTTCCAGGATAAAGATAAGATCCAATTTCGACAATGAAATTTCTTTAAGGGGATAGGTTGTGTGAACTTGCAATTTTAGATAACTGTTAAAACACTAGATAGCCAGTTCCCAAATGGGGCCTGAAGTTAGTAAATTAAGTCAACTAGATAGTTATAAACACTAGCCAATTCCCACCCCTTCTTTTCCATGCCATTTTGACTTTGTGTAAGGATTGCTTACCTATGCCAACACTCAACCACCCTAATTACATAGGTGCTAGAAGGGTGGCAATGCCACCCAATGAGGTTACATGCAACTAAGGAATTTCTTTTCTTTTTGTTTTAATTTTTGTATTCAAATTGCCTATATAAGGAGGCTCTTCCCTCCCCCCCTCATACCCACACCCTTCGGCTGAAGGAGAGGTAGAGAGGAAAGAAAGAAAGAGAGGAAGAGAGAGAGAGAGAGAGAGAGAAGGAAGAGGGGAGAGCAAGAAAGAGAGGGAAGCAAGGAAGGAAGGAAAAGAGGAGGTATCAACTCTTAGCAATTTTTCTTAAAGCTTCTTGAGGTAAGAATACTACCTCTACCCTTATTCATGGCTGATTTATATGTTATATATGCAAGATTATGTGTTATTAGTATACTTATAGCAAGCAAAGTCAGGTTGGTATAATGCATTTTCATCTCTTGGCTGAATGAGGCTTGCATGACTTTTTGAGCTTCAAACGATACCGAACAGTGGTGAGATTGGAACCGTTTGCTAGATAGACAAGTTAGGAACATTTTTCTAGAAGAAATGAAAGGCCAAAAACCTCTGTAATAAAAATTCTTCAAAGAAAATAGGACAGAATGTGTTGAGAGTTCAGTAAAACAGCCGTTTCTCTTTTAATATTTTTCGGTTTTTAGTGAAATCAGTGGAAAATGAAAGAAAAATCGTATATCTAACTATCCCTAGTGGCCATGCTCGGAAATGATTTTTTTGGAGAAAATGGTGATCATTCGAAGTTGACTGTTGCTGTTGTGTTTTATGCAGCGACTAAGAAAAACATTTATTTCGGGTGCAAAATACCCTCCGATGATTTTATAAAAATTCATGTTTATAATATAGTAGATTCTGGACAATTTATTTGAGCCTTATCAAGTCATTAGAAAGGAGTTGTCTAAAATTTATTTGAGCCTTAGCAAGTCCTAAAAATTCTGGACAATGCTGGAAACTTGATGTTTTAGTAGAGATGAGCCATCACCACTCTTTTTTACACACATGCAAGGTTATTCAAGGATAATGAGATGTAATCTAACATGTAAGGAAGTAAAATCAGTAGATATACTAACAAGCTAGAAGAGAATGAAGCTCAAAAAGTCATTCAAGCCTAATTCAACCAAGAGATAAACATGCATTGTACCAACCTCACTTTGCTTGCTATAAGTACTACTAACACATGGTCTTGCATATATAACATATAAATCAGCCGTGAATAATCTGAAGGGGGGTAGAGATAGAGTATTCTTACCTCAAGAAACTTTAAGAAAAATTGCTTAGAGTTGAGATCTCGTCTCTTCCCTTTCTTCCTCTCTTTCTCTCCTTCAGCTGAATGGTGTGGGTATAAGGGGAGAACCTCCTTATATATGCAATTTGTGTATAAAAATTAAAACAAAATGAAAAGAAATTTCCTATTTGCATGCAACCTTAATGGGTGGGATTACCATCCTTCTGGCACCTAGGTAACTAGGGTGGTTGAACGTTGGCATAGGTAAGCATTTCTTAAACAAATTGAAAATAGCATGGAAAGAGGGGGTGGCGGGCCTCTTTCTCTCTGTCTCTCTCTCAGGTGTATACATTTTCTTTCTTTCACTAGTGTAAGAAAGGTATCTCTAATATAATAATAAATTTTTACTTAGAAAGATCTAGAGTTTATAACTATCTAGTTGACTTAGTTACTAACTTATTAGCAAGTTCTCATTTAAAAAATTTTGAATATAGAAAATAACACAAAGAATAATCACAGAAAATAATGCATGGAGTAAAATTTTAAGGAGTTTAAATTGTAGATGTTTGTATAGTAACACTTGTTTATAAAGTTTTAATTTAGTTATTGGAAACTTATCTATTTAAAATAATTAAGCTTTTAACGGTCATATGAAATTATGAGTTCTCACAATACCTAACTCAGATATCAATCAATTCTTGGTTTGTAATAAAAGTGTCTTCTAATGCATCTTAGGATCTAAATTTGTGCTCCTTGTATCATGATATGGTGAATTTGGAGTGCTTTATGATCCCTTAATTCTCACTTTATATCCTTTCTTTCTTAGATTCACGACATCATGCTTGGAGGCTTGGGATCCTTGGTTTGGTTGCTTGTCTGCTCATATGGTCGCCTTTGTTCCCCTGGCCTGGTTGACTAGCCTAGTTAGATTATCATTATCACACACAATTCTATGCTTGTATATTTTAGGATATGTGCAATTTCAGATCACTATAAAATTTATCTTGAATTGGTCAAACTAAAGTGAGAATGGTTACAGTCTATCTACATGCTTCAACAATAAATTGCGAGTCAAGTGACATTTGGCAACATGATATATTATGACCTGTTTTAGGATTTTGAGATACTGATTTTTACTTTGGCACAATTTTAGTTCTTAATAGGTGAAATCAATCAATTTTTTACAGGCGAATTACCCATATCTTGCCAACCAATTTGCATTATCATTACATATACTAACAATCTTATTAAAAATATAAATGGCAAAATGTGATTGGTTATTAAGAAAATAATGATACTTAAGCATTCAATGATGTGGTGACATGTATATTTTTAGTAAGATTGTTAGTAAAAATTTAAACAGATATAGCATTGCTCATTACTTGTATGGACTAAAAATCAGATCTCAATATTTTTGTTGTGCTTCATTTTCTCTTCGTTTTTGTTTTTCGGTCTTTGTGTTTTATTTGACATCCATAACTACTGTCTTGAGTTCTATTTTTCTGGTAGTTGGTTTCTTACCTATTGATTTTTATTTTTATAAATTTGTATTATTAAAATATTACCTTTTCTATATTAAAAAAAAAATAAATAAAGCTCTTTTGCAGATCATGTCCAATGATGAATACAGAAGTGTGGAGCATAGAGTGTTGGCGAACCCCCATGAGGAGCCGCGTGTTTCGATTGCAGTTTTCTTCAACTCAAGCAGTAGAGAGAGATTGTATGGACCATTGTCGGAGCTAGTGTCGCCAGAGAAACCAGCTCTTTATCAACAATTTACACTGTCAGATTACATGCAAAGGTTCTTCAGTAAAGAGCTGCAAGGCAAGACTTTGACAAATTACTATAGGCTTTGAAACACAAGAGAGCCTTATATGTAAGCAATAATGATTGGCAATGTTATTTGTGAAATTATGAATGTAATAACTGGTTAAATAATTTACTCTTTACCAAAATTTATATTCTTGTCGAACAAATTTTTATGGAAAATTAAGCTATACGACAAGAAAGCTTTATTTTGTTATTGTTCACACTGTAGTGGTATTGAGAATGAGTATTGCTATTCGGATTCAAAAATTAGATACTACTTCTAGACTCAATGATCCACTGGGTTTAGAAAGTGGGTTTAAAAAGTCGACTTGTATATTATTTTTTATTAAAAATATTAAGCATGCGATATATATTGGTGACTCGATCGTGTGACTTTATATGGGGTCATCAATTGCATTATTTTATACTAAGACATTTATTCATAAATTTTTATTTCATTTAATCTAAATTATTTTTTTATATTTTAGTAAGTTTTATAGGTGACATAATTATTGAAATTTTCCTAATAATAATAGGGAGAAGCGCGCATTAATATTCACTGTAAATGTTCCGTGATGTGAAGTTTCATACTATTAACGTAAACGCTCACACTGTCAAATTTATTTAATGTGAATGTTTACATTACTAAGTTAATAAGAGTTCAAAAAATATTTGTAAGGATAAAATTGTTCATAAAATATCTTAAATATGTAAATGAAAATTTTGTAGATTAAATGTTTAAAATAATAGAACTTATTGAAATATAATAATATCTTATGGACTAATTAGAATTCATGTAATTGAGGGATGATTGTCTATAAAATTCTTTTTTTATGGGCTTTTAACTGTGCATCACAGCATAAAGGACATTGGCCAGTTTAACAGCATTTATAAGTTTAGTTATGGGAGAAAGTTACAAATTCATGAAAAAGACTATCATTTTAATTATTAATATTTGTAAACTTTACTATTTATCTATAATTAATTTTTAGAATTTACACTCAATTAAAATTTTTCCTTTATTTAACTTATTTGTTTAGAAAAAAAATTGACTAAGTGTTTGGTTACAATGGTAAATTTTAGCTTAATTAACCTTTTCAATTTATTTGGCCAAAAAAGATGAAATTTTTTTAAGTTACAATTTATAATTTTTGATAAGAATAAAGAACTTAATTTGATTCTGATGACGACTATTAAAAGAGAAAATATGTGAAAAGTTCATTTTAAAAAGGGTGAAAGTCATCAAGTCTCATGAGTAATTTTGTTTTTATTTTATTTTTGTTTTTGTTTTTTTGTTTTTTTTGTTTTTTTATGAGTACACTCTTTGTGAAATATTGTGGTGAGGAGTATATTTTGTTGTTTTGGAGGATATTTTATTTTCAATTTTACTCTTTAAATTTTTATTTGACACATATCTGTTGAAATTCTATCTGTGTGAATTTTCTATCTGTTCAAATTAATTCTATTTGTATGAAATTTTTATCTGTTGAAATTTTATCTATTCAATTTTTTTCTATCTGTTGCAATACCAAGCCAAACCAAACCCTATATGTTGAAATACCAAGCCAAACCTTAGTTTTCTACCGTGGGTCTCTAATCCAGATCTGTTGTCTTCTTCGGTCACCGTGGATAGTGGCACCTGGAAATAAGCAGAGCATTAGTCATAAATTGAAATGGAACTTGGAAAAAGCATTATAAAATTCAAAACTTATAAGCATTATCAAATCACTTCCATCGTGCTTCAATTGAACGTTAGAAGATGAAACGAAGAAGGAAACAGTTTTCCTATCCATTTCTCTTCATTTCCCCTCATCTATTACCATTTCTAAGTACCAAACAAAGCCTTTTGCATATATTCTAGAGAGAGAGAGAGAGAGAGAGAGATCGATACTTGTGATACTTCGTGCAACTGGTTTATCGTGCTTCTCAGAGGGATTAGTCTCATTGGATATGATAGCCCTATAGTTCTGACTCCCGTGGTTCTGAGTCTGGTTTCACAAGTGCAATGTGAAACATAAAAACTCAAATGAGAGTCCAAATCCAGTAAATCTTTGAAAAATCGATTTACAATCAGAAATGCCAAAAATGGATTGCATTGCCAGATTTCAGAGTCGCCACCTAAATGTTTTTAGAAAATTTAAGAAATCGGTGACTTGTGCCAAGGCCACTTATTGGTCATAACCAAAGTGTCTTGGCTCGGGAACTTAGGTATTAGAGGGGAATGTCATAAATTGAGCACCCTCTTCACCCCGATCAAAGATCGGCCTCTACTAATCATGATGTGATTTTTATGCACAGTAAATGCTCTTGTTTTGATTATTAATGCTAACTTACTATGCAAGGCACACAAGTATATACTAAGTCACTCGCTTTGGAATGCTTTGATTTCATGCTTTGTTTGAAAAGAGTTTTGAATATGCACTATTTGAAAAAGTCAGCTCATCTATGCATTAATCAAATCATCCAAATTCAAGCGAACTAGCCTTCATCCGCAGACATTCAAAAGGTATATCAAATAAGCACTTAGCCTCATGGTAATATGCTTGATATGGCAATACTAACATACATGCAATATACTAAAGCAAAAATGCTCACCTAGTACTCAACCGAGGCAAGCCAAAATAGAAGAAATAGTTGGAAAAATCCATGCTCTAATATGCAAATGACTAATGCGATACATACAAAATGAAACTACTAGGTTCGGTTTATTAACATGATATATGGCTCAACTCAAAGCATGTGTTTGACACACGTATTCAAGTAAGTAAGAAATGACAACAATGCTAGAATGATGAACTGAACCTAATGCATGCAAAAATGGGTATTTCACACATGGTAATGATATGAAATGAAAACATGAATGCAACCATCGTAAGCAAGTAAATAAAAGAGAGAAAGAAATGAGGGTTGAAAGACATACAAATATTTACAAGTGTTTACAATTTGCCCTCGTACAAGAGGGTCCGAATGAATGTCCTACTTAAACTAATTATTACAATATCAAACAAATGGAGTAAACTAATTAACTAATTATTACAAATTCAAATGAGTCTAATTAATTAATTACAATACACTAAAAGGACTCGCACGGGAAGAGAGGACTCGAGCACACGCAACTAAGAACATCCTCCCAAAAGCCTCTCTGTTTGCTGTCAGATTCTGTTTTGTTTTGCAGTTAGAAAATTATTTTATTTTTGCCTCAGCTTCTGCTCTGTTCTGCAAGAAAAATACCACTGCATGTACAACAAGGTGGCCGTCTCGCCTTGGAAAGCGGTTGGCCGGACAGAAAGGTGGCCGTTCGGCCACTGTTTTTGGGTTCTGCCCTGCTATCATAGAATTGAAACAGCAAAAATAGAGTGTTTCCAAGAGATGTTTATCCTTTCTGCCTCTTCCTATTATGAAGATGATCAAAGGAGGAGTAGATTCGATTCACAAATCATCAATCGTCGCGAGTTTGTTGCGTGATGATTTATGAACCGATAGGACAAAAGCTTAATAAATGAAAATTAAAGACCAACAACACCTCTTCCCTATCATGGAGTTACCTCAAGGAAAGGGGTTGACATTGCTTCTTGAATCATTGAACATCACCAAGAGTATGTAATGATTTGAGGCGCAATAGGTTCAATATAACGTCCGAGTGAACCCAACTTAATTTTATTACCCTTTTGTTTTACCTCATTTACATTACCTTGCCATTTTCTTATCTTTTCTTCATTTTGTCCAAAAATGATAACTACGTCCACTAAATGTAAAAAACGATAAAAAAGTAGTGTTAAACAAGAAGTTGTTCTTAACACGAGAAAGATGTAATGCCTTGGTAATTAAACTCCGAAAAGGTTAAACCATTAAGCATGGAAAGTCTCTTTCTCATGCCCTGAGCAACAAACTAGTGTTTAAGACAACTCTTAATCAAAGAAAGTAAAGAAATGAGGGAGGTTGCAGAGACGATTAGGCAAAGGTGATGATGACAAATATGAATATTTACATGGAAATTATGTAAAGAAAGCTATCAACTCAAATAGATTGATGTATATGGCTTAAACCACCAAATCTATGAGGACTTTACAACAATATAAGCATAGTACTTAAAGCATAAACTAAATAAACACCCTAACAGCCCCTAAATAGCACAAAACAGTGCTGAAAAGCATTTTGAAAAGCTAAAAAAAGTAAACAAAAATGGAAGAGAACAAAGCTATTAAGTAAGCCAAAGGAAAGATGGCTAACCCCTCCACTTTTTGGACCTTAACATCACATATGTTAGCCTCTAAAAACTCTGAAAATCAGTAGCTAAAAGTAAAGAAATAAGGATATAAGCTATAGGATAAGGTCCAAAAATGATGGTCAACCCTTCCACCTTTAGTAGCTTTAAATCACAAGTTTTAGCACTTGAAAATAGTCCAAAATAGTGTATAAAATAGAAGAAAAAGAGTAGTGTAAACAAGAGAAAAAATGGCAAAAGCTATACCTCTTAAACAAAGGATGTTCTTTGGTTCACAAACCAAAAAGTGATCACCCTCAAGAGCTGAAATTTTGGCTCAATAATCTCAGCTAGAAGCCTCAAAATTTTGGTTTAGGAATTGTATGTATATTGCAAGATAAAGAGGGAGAGTGTTTGGCAAGTTTGTGTCTCTTGGCAAATTTTTTTAACCTAAAACCATGAGGGGTAGTCATCTATTTATAGAAAAACAGGTTCCTCTTTTGGAAATAAATGTATTGAGCCAGCTGGTGCAAGGTATGCATATGAGAGGGACAACTGGTAGCAAAATATCTGATGGTCGCTGAACATGGCTGGCCATGGAGAGGGACGGACGTCCAATAAAAATTGGTCTGCTAGCCACCTTTTGGGCAGCAGGCCTCTGAGTGGTCAAGCTAGAAAAAATTAGGTTTTGGTCCGGAGAAGGTGCAAGGTTTTAGGTTCTGAAACGCAAAACTGAAGCCTTTTGTTGATGAAATTGAACAATTGTACAGTGTAACATTATCATCATCGAGTGTTCAACATGAGGTATCCAAGTCTTAAGGGTGGTAAAAAATGGGATGTCTACAATTCGCATCTAAGACAACAAATGAAGGACTAAGTTGTTGGAGTCCTTTAGTGAGGTACTCGATGTGCTCATCATGTTTAACTTCCAGTCCATTTCGCATATAAAATCATCAAAAAAATTTAATCAATTGAGCAGTGTTAGAGTT